TGAAGTATTGTTACAAAGATGCCTGTGTGTATGTGCTCCTCTCCTTTTCGCCGACAGGAAAATAATAAAAACTCAATTGCGTTTGAAGTTCAGTTACTGCGCGATTTATTATTGCTTCCTTATTCGAAAATCAAATCGGTAATAATGCCTTAGGAAGAAAAAGCTCGACTCGTTCAGTCGAAGTGTTAAGAATCAATGAAAATATTCTCACCCCCGTGAACAGCACCTATTTTGCCAATAAAATTTGCCGAAAAGCAATTAGTTAGCGCTCGTGCCGGCAAAGTTATATATACGAAATCCAACTTAGCAGTAGATGTACACAGAGTCACGATCAAAGACGCGAAGCGCATCTTCCTATTTACAGTTTCTGACAGTGCACAAAGTTTCTCATTCGACCCGAGAAAGGAAACAACGAAGTTTAACGATTCTTAAGTTTTAGTTCTCGCTCGAGAGCCGAAAGGAAAAACATTCCCGCTCGTAAAAATCTTGGAACCTCTCGGGCGAGTTTCTCGCGCGCGTACGTACTACGTACGTGTGCAACTCGATGTATATACGAGTGCAACTTCTTCATAAGTATATTACTATTATTATGTGTTTGTGTGTCTTTTAATTTATGTGAGTTCTTTATCCTCGCGCTTTCGCAATCGAAAACTTTACATCTTGAAATTTTAATGGTTTACGGTATGTTTTACTGCCTGAGCTTGAAAAATGTAACCTATTTTTATATTAAATGCTCAGGTGTGTGAGTACGCGCAAGCTCTTATCAACGCTGAACGCAGCATATAATAAAGTATATATGCGACAATTTGCAAGATGAAACTGAATGCATAATGAATTACGTCATTTTTCATAAATTAATTAAAAATGTATGCTGCAAAGCCTCTCTCGCTCGTAGGCACATTGGGCGTGCGCATAATTTTTTGTCGCATAATTAGAACTAACCAGCCAGGCATACGCACGCCTATGATGCATAAACGGATTCAAGGAATGAGTACGAAAACATTCGTTTACCACATGTTAAAAAAACCAATTAGTTGTTCAGCGCAGTGGGTTATGATTATCTGTAATGAGCTGTTTTCGCGGTTGAATGTATAATATTAGATATAAAAAAACCCATGGTCGCGGACGTTAAACTCCGCAACCAACAAACGGAAACTCCTATTGGAGAATTGATTCACCGTAAATAATTCTCGAGAAATCGAGCATAATACACACACAATACCGACTAGACGCAATATTATCAATTATTTATAATCTTTTACTTATTCATTTCTTTTTTCATTCAAATTATGTCCGATCTCTCCTATTACTCGCGCATCAACTTGTCAAATAACTCGTTTCTTAGATAAAAATCGCCTCTCCCATCGAGCTGCTCTCCGCGGCCCCGTATACAGCGCACGCGCGTGTATAGGAAATCGTTTTTCCTCGAGATCATGATTACACGGTACGATTATCGCGGCGTATATCCATACGTAGCCTAGACAAACCAACAGCATCGCGCGCGCGCATATCGCAGAAGAGGTTTTCTCTCGCGTAAATCATCTCCCTCTCTCTCTCTCTTTCTCGTCTTGCGGACGGAGCGACCCTGAAAAATTAGCAAAGCCGCAAAAGAGCGCATAGCAGGCAGCAGGAGCAGCAGCAGCAGCTGGTACGGAAGTCAATCCGCGTCGAGACTCTCACCCGCGCCAGACACGAGCAGCAGCAGCAAAGCTCGGTAGTAATAAATATCATAGGCATAAATATATGCTGACTTCCGGTCAGCGCGCAGCGCACCTAACTCCGTGCGCTATCTCCACTATCGCCGAGGGTTAAATTGATGCGTGCGCGCGTTAAACGCAATACGAGGAGCGAATCGTCAACGGATGCTGAGCCAGCGTTTGTTACTATCGTCGTTATTATTATTGTGTCGGAGTGCTCGGTTCGTACGTCGGCCGCACCGCAAAGCTCGCAGAAGAGAATCGTCTAGCGACTGTTTTGCGCGCGGATCCGAGCATTAACTGTCTCAAAAGCGAGCCGTACATAAAAATGTTACAATTTTTCAGATGCAAACAGATAAAGATGCAAGTATAGCTGCACCGTCAGCGTGCCGCTTTTGTAGCACACACATACGAACGGCGCGCTTTTTCCGAGACGCTATCTCTCTTTTATCGCACAGACAAACGACGGACTCGCGATAAATCCGCGCGGCATATATGCGCTATTCCGGCGATAAAATCGGTTGCACCTTATTGGCGATATAATTTATTCCTGCCTCGCCGAGAAGAGAGAACCGAGATATAGCTTTCGCAGCTTTTGTGCGCGGTGCGTAGTATTATTTCGCGAGCGCGAGAGAGATAGAAAGAGAAAACGGGAGATGGCGCGCGCTCGATAATTCGCATTATATTATAACTCGCGCGAATGCCAGAAATGTTTCAATCGCGGCTTTTTCTATACACAACCACCACCGTAGCCGATCGCCCAATGCGTAGGTAGTGTACAACCGTATTGTAAGGCGGCCGCTGAATTCAAACACACGCACAGGTGATAAGCGGGGAATGAGTATATGAGTTTTTTTTAAAAGGCCACCATAGTAAAAATGTGCCCGCTCATCCCGCGTTCGCTCTCGAATATAATAAATTTCCAATAGAGGCCCAACAAAGAAAATTCCAAAGTATAATATGGTTTTCGCGTACTCCCCGGCCGTAGCAGCAGCTCCACCGAGAGCAGAGATCGTTACACCGGCCACATTATATTATTACAGCGAGCTGCTTTCAAGAATCTTTACCATGCGGAAGAGCGGCGCGTATCTCTTTTCTATTATTATTATATGGCATACGCATTATATCGCAGTGCAGTTCGAGCTCAAAATCACGTATACGCGCGCACGCACCTATGCGTGTGTAATGCGTATACGGGGCCAAAGCGCCGAATTTGCGGAATGAAATTCCACGAATGGTACATGCGCCTCGTATGCGCATTATATAGTCTTTCTCCAAATTTATCTGTCGCGTTGATATAGCGACGCGACTCGACGTTCGCGCGCGCGCGAGGTTTATCAGCTGCTGACGCGAATACAAGTGTCGCTCGACGACGACGACGAGTACTGTTATAATGCCGAGGCGTGAAATGTCGTGCTCGCGCGCCCAGCAACTCTCGCAGCTTTTGCTTATGTGTGTGTGTGTACGTTTTGAGAAATCGCGCACGCATAAGGTGTGGAAAAGAAATCGAACGATACGACTGGCGACGTTAACTGCAGACTATACACGTGCCAGAGACAGAGGAGATGTAGAGAAGAGAAGAGAGAGAAGGAGAGTAGCGAACATGTGCAAATAACTGCTGCGACGTGTTACGTATATGTATATAAGGTACACGCGCCTATATACATGTATAAACGGTAGCAATTCTGCCTGTGCAAGCTTATATACGATGCCGTACTTGTTTCCATACACAGCACGAGCATTAGACTACTGCACGTCGAGGCTCCTCCGCGCTCGGCTCGACTGTGTGCAGTACGCCAGATGGGAAAATTGACTTTAAACATGACGAGGAAGCGCTTTTCGTTGGACTTTATGAATGCTGCCCCTCGTTACTTTATATTATTATACGAAAGCTATCCTAAATCATTGCGAATGTGATGTATAATGTGTACTTTGTAATGCGTATACTGCAGTAGCCTAGTCTACGCGTATGAAGCGGTTACCTCTTATTAAAATTTATAGCTCTAAACGTGATGAGGTCAGATTTTCGTATCTAATGAATGCGATAAACTTCAAAACGTGGACGAAATCGTGAGAAAGGAAGAAAAAAATGATCGGTCAAAGCCCACAGTAAAAGTTTATCAGTAAGAACTATTTTATTTCTAAAAACTGCTTGTTGAAATTGTCGAGGCCATCAGCTGGTTATATCATACCTAGCCGCGTGAACTACATCATGCAAATAGCGACCCGCGTCGAAAAAAGCAAAAAAAAAAGGATGACTTTATACGCGTGCTGCACGCGTGCATACGCACACGAGCGCGGAAGAGGAAAGGAAACATTATACACCGCATCGATAATGTGCTTATAAATTCCGCTGCACTTCTCACGCTCCTCGTATCTATGAAAATGCCAATACACATATGACTTCAATAAGTCATCGCGTCGTGAACTTTTCGGAGTAATGCCCTCAATTGTGAAATATTACCTGGTTCTTTTACGTACATCCTCCTCTCTTTTAAAAGGAATAGCCTGATCGTGTCATTGTAATAAACGAGTTATGATTAGTTTCTTGAATTCTTGCTTAGATACGAGATCTCTATGCAACTCATGTATGTACGACGAAAGGGCGAATTCATATTCGTAACTTTATAACATACGAATTTATACATTACGCGGCGTAGAGATGCACTTACAGTACTTTGTCAATTGGACTCGTACAATGATTTTCTATTCGAACGTTAATAGGTAGTACTCGGAGAAAGTTTCACTGTTGATAGCAATGTTAAAAGATCAGTTCAACGTCAATATTTTATGAAGAATTGAATACGAAACCTAGTCCATATTTTAGTTAATGTACGAAAGGGAAATTAATGATTTTTTTTAACATTCATGACAAAATAAATAACAGTTTGAACTTTTTTATTGTTTTTCACAAAACTAAAGAATATATAACTTTCAGATTTTCGAAAATATCACTTGTGTTATTGTAGACGTTTTAAATGCGTTCAAATGTTTGCATAAAAATGTCACACTCAAAGGATTTGCTACGATCGTGTACTGTATTTATGTGAATTTTGAGTTTACTTTTTTGCCCAAAAGATTTGTGATAAATATCACATTCGAAGGATTAGCTATGATCATGTATTGCATTAACGTGATGTTTGAGGTCCCTTTTTTGTCCAAATGATTTATGGCAAATTTCACATTGAAAGGGTTTGCTCCGATCATGTACTGTATTTAAGTGAATTTTGAGGGTCTCCTTGCGACCAAATGATTTGTGGCAAATAACACACTCGAAGGGTTTGCTCAGATTGTGTACTGCATTTATGTGCCTTTTGAGGGTACTATTTTGCCCAAATGATTTGTTGCAAATATCACATTCAAAGGGTTTGCTTCGGTTATGTACTGTATTTATATGAGTTTTGAGATCAACTTTTTGTCCAAATGATTTTTGACATGTATCACATTCGAAGGGTTTTCTCGAATTGTGTACTGCATTTATGTGCCTTTTGAGGATATAATTTTGCCCAAATGATTTGTTGCAAATATCACATTCAAATGGTTTTTTAAGATTATTTAATGCATCTATATGAGCTTTGCGACTATAAAACTTTTGACAAATGTCATATTCAAAATCATGAACAGAGTTTATGTGTTTATTGAGATTATTCTTGCATCCAAATGATTTTTGAATCACATCACACTCGTATAATGTAATGCCCTTATGTGTCGTATTCATATGTGCATTTAAACTAGCTTTTCCGTTGTAAGTTTTATTTTCAATTTTCACAATAGATGGATAATTTTGATACTCAGTCTTGCAAATTTTTGCAGACAAAGAATTGAATTCTAGCTTAACATCTTTGCACTCTAAATCAATGAATATTTTTTCATCTAATTTTTCTTGACGCCATGCCATAACCTCATTCGTGTTATTTGTCTAAAATTAAAATTGTGTAATAGTTTTAATTGTGTACAAACGAAATATAATCAAAATATTGAACTTACTGATGATTCATGAAACGAGAATGTGTCAAAGTTTTTGATTTTGCAAGTGTCCACCAAATTATAATTGCAATCATCACCTGCTTCTGTGCAAGTATCGAACGGCTCTTGTTTTACCCTAAGAATAGTTAAGTTTGATAACGGTCAAGTTTAAATAAATAATGGCATGCAAAAAAATGTTATACCTAACACTGTCCTCTTTGCTTTCCATACTCGCTCGATTATGTGTATTTTCGTTGTAAATTTTCACGATATGCACTAAGAAAACACTTAAGGTTATATGCCATGAGTAGCCAACACTGTACCTCGAATTCACTAATTTGTAAACACTTGCTTACTGCAGGAATTTCTCACGCACACTACTCGTGTATAAGCGAGGATAAACCGCGAGCTCCTTTGAGGTATTTTCCCTCTCCACCGTCATCTGTCTATGAGCACTTATATGCTGCGATATATATTAGGTTCTCACATACATGTTGTTGAAACCACATCGATTTTACAAATGAAATTTCACTCATCCATGCAAACAATTGATTTGTACATCGTGTGCGATATGCGTTGGGTAACATTCGCACAAAATAAAACTATAGTTCTGAACCCACGCCAATAAAATTCATAATGATTTAACATATGTGATATTGGAAATAAAGTAATTAGTCATTGTAGTTGCAGGTGGTAGTAAAATAATTACGGTAGTTGAGCTTTTACATTCTGCAGGTATAGTTTGTGCGTACACAGTGCGTTAAAAATTCTTAATTCAAGTAAATAAAATATCAAAAACTTGACGTTCATCATTTCGGGCGTTGTATACGACATTTATCGACGGTGCCGTATTGCGGTCGTGAATTGCAGCAGCCGGCGCATTTGAACAATTTCAATGAGAAAATTTTTTCACGTTTAGATAACGAGTCGTCTGCGCGCACACGCGGGGAAAAGTACACGAAACGGAAAATTATCACCTATGTATATGCGTGAAATTGCGACGATCGAATGGACGCGTGCACGCCCATAACCGTACAACATACTGTCACGCTTTCATTGCTTACCTGATTGTCGTCCTCCACGTCGTCAAGTGCAATAATGTGGACAATATATTTCTCTCAGCTTGGCAATAAAACTGTACAAAGTACCAGTTTGTTGACCCTTTACTATATTTTTTATTTGTACTTGATCGTTATTTTAATAGTAATTTGAAAGCTCACTCGCCCTCGATAAATTTTGGCCCGCGACAGATATTACAAGTAATTTAATAAATATTTTACATCGATATCCATCAATTTCACGGTGGAATGTATGCTCTTGCGCAGAAAATCATTCAATATCCTTAGTTTAAAGGATGCTTGGCTACATTTCTCGTCTCGCATTTAACAGTATATTTTCTGCTTCGTCTGATCGGTGCGTATCGCGCGAAACAAAGCGTAAATATATAGATGGCTAGTATTATACGCAGATAACAGACCGCACGCGCACTTAGGCGTTGCACGAAAAGGACTGTGAAGGAAAGAAGCGAGGAAGAAAGAGAGCGAGGGAGAAAAAAAGTCTCTAAGCGATCGCGAGAGAGAGGAAACCCTGTACAACACAGACACGGGAATTTGAGAAATCTAATTTCGCATCGCGCGCACATACACACATTTGTAATAGTCCTTGTAGCTGCTCGTGCGCTCCCTTATACTTATGTACAACTACAATATATACACCTACATTCTCCGATGTGCTCGTAGCTCTTTGTCCTTCCTAGGCGCGCCTCTTCTTCTTCTTCTTTTTTTTTTTTATTCTTCAGCTGGCGACCTTTTCATGCATAAATTATTCCGAGGAAAACGGTGTGGGTTATATGCGCGGCCAAAAGCATGCATGCGAGCGACTCTCTCTCATTTCGTCTTTCTCTCTCACTCTCTTGGGAGATTACAGTTTTTTTCTCGCACTCCTGTGGCCTATACCATGCTCTGTCTATTTCTTTTTTTTCTCCTTTTTTCATTTTGGAGCCGTTCAGGGGCTTGTTGTGGCCAGGCTTTACTTTGGCGCGCGGTGGCGAGCTGATGGCGCTATTCGTTTTAATATTCGTCGTTAAGCTTTAAGGTAGAGCGAGAAAAGGGTTAGAATTGTTTACGATACGAGTGTGCGTACATACTCATGGTGATTCACGTTTTTCTCATTTTCCAGCTCTGTACGCATGCCGAGAGCTAGGAAAGTGAGACAAATTTACTCGACTAAAAAAAATCTGGCAAAGATACCAAATGTTGTTGTAACAGAACAACGAAGTACAGAGAAAGCTCGTTTCTTTTTAAATGAAAAATTTACTGGTGTAAGATTTTCAATGATATTTAAATTAAAATTCGAATATTGTTGAAATTGGTAAAGTTTAATATTAATGTGAAAAATAAACTGGGAAAATCATATAAATGATTCTGAATGATGAATTTTTCTCCCTAAATATGGTAGATACGTCAAAGTTAAATTTGCAAAGTAATACATATGGATGGTCAAAAACACTCATCGATGAAATGATGTTTTATGATGATCGTGAAAGCTCGTGCTATGGTTGATGCAACGCTCGAAATTCTAACGTATTCATATCGTACACGGTAGAAAAAAAAAGAAACTCGCACAAAGCACTCCTCGAGATTGCGCTTACTCGTTCGCTTTCCGCTCGATTGTCTGTGTCGCGCGCATATAATGCGGGGCTTCGAATGAAAGTGTACATACAGTCGTGGAATTTCGAAATATTTCTATGCCCGCTAAATAAACGACGCAACGCGCGCGGCTTCCAAAATATACTTTAAGCCCGATACACGATTATAATTATGCGCTTGTATACTTATATAAAGAGGGATTTATTTGTTTTGAGTAGCAGTTTGCCCGTTGCTCATAATCAATGCAATCAAGCGCGCGGCCGTATACTTATTAAATCCACCCAAAACTGTGTATTCATGGGCTTATGCTTCATAAACAAAAGGAGCGGACCGCATCGCTTTCATTAAAATCGATTCGAGCGAAAATATATAAGCCTCCGAACGCGCGCCCGCAATAATAATCCGGACGGGATGTGCGCGGGAGGAGGCCCAAGTTTCTGTACCAATACAGCGCAGCTAGTCCAATCTCATTCAATCAAACAACTACTTAACCGAATAAATATTAAATCAAACGCAAAGACTCTCCCTCTTTTGGAATATACAAAAATCACCCTGGTGTTAATAAAGAAATATTCGCGCGCGCGCGCGCGCAAAGGAGCAGCGCTTCGTTAATCCTGATTTGAATGAGAAAATATTCCAAACGAATTAATTTCGTCGGCGACGGGGCTGCAGCGCGCCTACACCCTCGATCTCAGTCGTCGTTATACCTTATAGGCGCACTATGCGAATGAAATATATAAGTTATACTGTATATAAGGAGAAGAACTCGGTACGGAGCTCGCTTCGATTCCTCATCGATTCAATGACCGAATAAAGTAGCAAGAACAAGTAGTAGCAGCAGCCGCCCTCGCAAGCCGAACGCGCATTATGTTATATCTATATAACGTTTTATACCTTTACGATAGGGGCGCTGCTATACCAAGATTGCCAATGAATTGATCAGAAGCTCGTCGCTCTTGTTATACATTGTCGCCGGCGATATTGGATGTGAATTGCGAAACTTCGGAGTCGACGTTGAGCGAAGCGCGCGCAAGAAAGTTGAGAGATGCCGGTGAGCTTTAAGCCACCAGCGCGCGCGCGTGTGTGTCGTCTTCTCGGAGGCTTTTTTTTCTGTGACGATGGAATGGTTGAATTGCTCGCGCTCAGCAGCAGACGCGGCATACATATATTGATTCAAAGTACTTGTCGGGAAAACTTTCCTATACTTTCTTTTATTTCGTCGCTGTGCTGCGCAGGTTCTTTTTGCGCGCTTGTATCGGCGAAACAGCCCACAGCCAAGGTCTTCTGTGTTTCGTTCTGTGTAAAAAGACGCGAACTTCTTTCCCTAATTTCTTCCACTCTCAATTAACGGATAAAGGCGAAGAAAACATGGAACTGAGAGCGTGGGGACTAATTTTTCCGAGACTTGCCTCGCGCGCGTACACGCAGCAGACCAGTCTCGAGGATAAAAGAAATCATACCTGCAACGAAGGAGTTTTCCTTAGACAAAAATGGGAATTAATTCATGCGGGAAGAAATAAATTTTACAGTCACGAGCTTTTTTCAACTTTTCCCCTTTTCTCGCGGCGCAGGTAGGGGCCCCAATCGTCTCATCAACGCGCTCAAAAGAGTGGGCGAGCGAAATTAAGAAAAATTTAAAATTCAACCCTTAAAGTACTTTGATTAACGGAAAAGAATCGCAGATACGAGTGAGACAATGAAAACTAATCACGCACTGCTTCAATCAATCTAGCCCCTCCGCGCCTCAACGCTCGACCACTCGACTGCTAATTTTCAACGTAAAAGTTTATCACGAAATCGAGATGTAAAATTGCTAATCCACGCGCGAGGAAGTGAAAGAGGTACCGCACGAAAAAAAATCCCCGCCGCAGAATTGAATAGTTTCCCCTCGCTTCATCAGCAGCGTCGGTGGCGGCAGAGGCATGATATTATATATAGAAATGAAAAAAAAGCTGCACGCGCGCCGCGTCCGTCATGAGCAATTTTCATCAACTCGCGATACGTATTATGGACTCGCGCTGCTCGGCTGTGTACACACAGCGCATCATACATATAACATTAGCTTCTCGCTTAATTGATTTACGGTCCGTGCTCTGATACACTACGCTGCTGCTGCAGTGTGTAATACGCTCGAGTGCGCGCGCGGCGATGCTCTCTTCTATACGGTTAGCCTTGATCCTGGCTCGCTCTATCTATATACCGCAGTCGCGCAGCTCGACGAGTCCGACGACACTACTACTATCTATCTACTACTACTGCTGCTGCTGCTGCTCTTCCTCGCTCGCTTCGGCATACATTTCCACGGCGGTCATTAATTCGCGGTCGTTTTGCCGAAAACCGCATCAAGTAGCAAGAGCAGCGGCAGCGGCAACACAACACGAGCTCGCCTTTACGCAGATGCTTTACGTTCGGCGCAGCGCAATAAGCTCTCGTATATATAGAGACCACTCTACTCGGCTCGACACGCGCTAATTCGCTCGTCGCTCCACGGCCGCTCGCCTCTATACCTATGCATATGTATATACCGGAGTCGTATAGGAGCCAACGAATGTGTTTGCGTGTGCGTGTGTGTACGAGAGGAACTGCCTCGGAGAGCCAGAGTAGAAAGACTGAGAAATCACCTGGGGAATCAGCTTTACAACCGCCTGGTTGATCCACCTGAAATGTTCGTCTAGCTTCATTTGAGCTTCGTTGTT